AAAGAGTTCCCTTGGATTCCTACAAGCGGTGAGTTCCTATATTTACCCTTACCTTGCTTACCTTGGCTAGCTTGGTTTGAGCAACTTTCCTTACAACTTATTTGGACTAATCTCTCAATGCAGCCCTAAAAACTCACTGTATCCCTTTAAACCTTGTTTTTTCAGAAAAATGTCATATACAATGTATAGAGAGACAACACTTGGTGCAGCATTAACACATACTCTAGAAGAGTTCGTGGAAGAAGGTTTGATTAGTCGCACGCTAGCGACTAAGGTATTAGTTGCATTTGACGACAACATCAATAAAGCCTTAGCCTATAAGGTTAAGAACAAGGTACGAATTCTAGCCATTTGTTTTTCTAAAGGAAACTTTTTTATTCTAACCCAAAATGTATGCTCAAGTTATACGTCGCCGGAAGAAACCATCCATGTCTCTCTTCCTTACCTCGAGAATGGATTTTTGTAATATTGCGCAGAAAAAGTGTATTTAAATAAGATTCTTTTTTTTTTCTGTGTGTTAAGCTTGCTCTTGTTTCCTTTTTTCCTTCCGCTTTTCCTACGAAAACCATCAATTTTTGTAAATAGTTTGCCGGCCCGCCCAAACGCATACGCTGGCCTTTTCTTACTCCTTTTTGAGCAAATTTCGATAAACCTGAACTACCATTAACAACGGCAATGATTGGTGCCTGAAAGTTAGTTCTCTGACGCTATTCAGCTCGTTACAGGGATGTGGGTGAACAGTGTCTTGTAATGAATGCTTAAAGGCAGTCCGTGCAAATTTTCAACCCTGAGTTTTCCACCTCTTCTGGACTTTTTCTGTGTACTGAACACAATAGTAAATTCATTACCACAAAACTGCCAAAAACAGAGATTTCAGCTTTCTTTTGCCTGAAAAGGACGAGTGGCATAGGTACGATTACAAATTTTCAACCTTTAGTGCCAAAACGGTCGCATATTTTTCTCTCTAGAGATCATTGCTTTTGCAAACAAGTGCGGTGCTGGGAGGAAACACCACGCCCAAATTTGCGCAATTTCCTCGCGGATCCTCAATGTGTTCCCCTCAAGAGCCTTGGTGTTTTAGGTGCAGTTCAAATCTGACAAACTCCTGGCTTATCGTTACTGTGACAGTGTGTGGACAATCATAATGAAAGGTGTCGAGTTTCACGATGTTTTTTGGCCAGTGGCCCATCGGGTTGAGAAGTATGTCTAAGTACATCTGTTTTTTCTTCGACCATTTATGCTACGAAATTTTTTTAGATTGAAAATAGTCGCCTGTGAAGCTTTACCTCATGCAACTGCATCCCTGGCAGCCGTCCTAGAAAATCATCAGTAACTTGTACGAGCTCCTTTCACTAAGGCCTGACGATGAGATCAAGAATTGACGCAATTTCACCAACTGTTTACTTTCCTTTTCTGAAAGGCTGTTATGCGTAAACACTTTCGCTAATTGTTA